GGCCCGCGCGGCCTCTGGCTGGTGTCTGAGGCGCTCTGCAGGCGGCCCCTGACCTTCCGTAACTTTCGCGTGTGCTGGAGCTGACGGAGCTCTCGGGGAAATTTTGGGGAGAGGTGGGCTCCACTTTAATCTTTTCAGGCTTCTGTGGCTTCAGCTGCAAGTACTGTGAAACTTCAGTTGTGACTTTTATCTTGAACTAACAAACATGTCTTGATTTAAGGCCTGGGGTTTCTACATCCTGTAATTATTTCTTCTAGGTATGTTTCTTTTAGGTCTGTGACTTCTAAAAACTGAAATAACTGTGCTAGCTCACACCCTGGCCGAGGTGCAGCTGCAGCAGTAAAAAGGTGCTTTACACCTGTGTAGTTAATTCTGTGGAGGGAAGAGTAAGCTGCGGTGTTAAACGCTTCACTCTGGTGTAACTACGTGTGCGTGCTCTCTCGTGGCAGCGCAGCGTGGCTGAGTTTGTGCGGAAACGCAGATGAAGTGTTTCTGACTCGGGCTTGGTTGTGTCTGAGCCTTCAGAGACTCTGCTGGCTCCTTATTTTGGCCCAAGCACAGATACTGCCAACAGCACAATGTGTAAGCTCTGGTATGTACTGCAGTGGCAGCACGATTGAGTAATACGAGTGTCTCTGCAATCCGAAAGGTAAACAGCAAAATGGGTCACAGTGAGAATATTATCAGTGCTTACACTATTGGGTATCTGAGAGGAAGATGTTTTGGTGTGCCAGCTCCAGATTTATTGCTTCTGTTAAAGGTAGCAGCCATAGCTTGAGGATTTAAATTTGTGAAAGACAAAAGGGACTTGTAATTATAATAAAAACCATCAGTAAGGATTTCAGTAAAACCGGTGTGCTCAAGTGAGGTGTCTTGGCAGGTCAATTCAAGAGGCATCCTGGAAACTAGGAAAACTGAAATCTACCTAAACTCTCCGTTCTGAATGCAGCAAGGATTTTGACGTTTTCACATCAGTAAGAAATTAAGAGCCAAAATAATACTCCCTAGTTTGTCTTAGTAGCTGTCGCAGGGGAGTTTTGACAATAGGATTTAGCAGTTTCTTGAAAAGCTGTATCAGATACATCAGCTCCTAGAAGCAGAGGGAGTTGTTCAGTTTGTTAGTGAGACCGTCACTGGCGTGCCACGTCGCTCATAAATTAAGGTTGGTGTTTCCATGCTGGGAGTATGAAATTGTTTCTCTCCTCTCAAAGGCAGTGGGAGCTTCACCTGTTGGTCTGGATGTGGAGCCGGGGCCCTTGAGAGCGGGTTCCCTCTTCAGCAGTATTGCTCTTGCTTTGAGCATGCCGCCTTTGGGCAAGGTGCTGTTAGGTATCCAGCAAACACCATACCCCTCTTAAATGAGGTGAGGGCAAGAGCCCCAGTCCAGATGCATGGGTCCAGAGTCAAGCGCTTCCTCAGCTTCAGTGACTTTTGCCCTAGGTTTTCATCCATTTGCTGGATTGATTCTGGGTTTAAGAGTTCTGTTGAAGAATATTTAAGTTGATGTGTCCTGTGCACACGTCTGCAGCAGGTCCGTGCTCTGGAAGAAGTTTGTGAATAACGTTTCTGCTTGTCCGTGAAAGGGTGGAGTGCTTTGAAATCAGGGATATCACATGGGGCAGAAAGCTTTGGTCAATGTCATATCTTTTTTTTTTTTTCCCCTACTTAGATGCAAGTTCGGTTTCTGTTTTGGGTTCCGCTGCACGTGCTGGTGTAAAACACTTGCAGGAAGGAATGGGGTCCTGGTGAAAATGTCTGTGGAGGTGTATGGGGAGACTTTGCTTGTCACCCATGTCAACATGAGGATAATTGTTCACATTCCTGAAATTACTGCCATTCTCAGGAGACTGAGGTTCCCAGGTGGTGCTGCCAGCCTGTCTGGCCCCATAGCTCACTGGTGATGAGGAGGACAAAGTCTGGTCCCTACCCAGTGGTCAGGTTTGGATGGCCTGAGGACAGGCAGCGCTGTGTGTTGAGAGGTGCATGGTACAGTGTCCTTCAGGTTTTGTGTCTCTTGAATCCACCTAAATGGGGTTTCTGTGATGTTTGTCTTCCACTGTTATGAGGAGCAGGTTCAGTGAAGTGAAAATCCTTCCCCTGAAGAGCTTTAAAACCAAAGAAGGTTTAGTCACTTTCTTGACAGTGGTGTGATCGCATCAAAATACACGGCTTACTCAGGATAAGCTGGTATTGCTGTAAACCCCTTTGAATAACTAATTTCCTTTTCTGTGCTTTGCATTATGTGTTTTCTGTGAAGGTGTGGGGAGCGCAGGGCGATAGCCAGGTCACAAATGCAGTCCATATGGTCCAAACATGTATCCCTGACTCCTGGAGTGGGGCAAGAGGAGCTCAAAAAAAGAAATGCGTGTGACTGGGGAGTCCACTCGTTTGCAGTACTTTTCAACAGAGAAAATAAGAGCCCAAATACTAGGCAGGATTTAGGGAAGTAATGGAGCATTCTGGAAATTCCTGTGGTGTTAGAGGTAGTCAGTAAAGACCCCATCCCACTGATGAATTTGTGTGCTCTTCCTTAAGCAGGTGCTCGTAACCTCTGCCTTGGCTTGTAAATGGTGATAGGCAAGTTAGGTTGGTATACCTGAGACAGTTTCTTCTTGTACTTACCTTTGTTATTTTCAGTCTTAAAAGTAAAACCCAAGGTATGTTGCTTCTTTAAAGCTGTACGGTTATGGTCTGACATTTCTGTCTGACCAAGCCACATCTGTAAGTTTATAAATGCAAGGAGCAGGTTTATTGGAAGGTTCAGGCAGGTTTTGTTGTGTTTGCTTTCCTTGTGTGGTGCTTGTGCATACAGCTGTGCATTAAGAATACATAAAAACACTTTAACACCTTCATAAATAAAACCACTTAGTACCTTCCTGTACTTAGGCTGAAGAGTGGCTCCCCTCCCCCTTTTGTAATTGTGAGATCCCATTAGTCATCCCATTAGCAACTCCGTTCTTGGATCCAGCCCAGGAGAGGTAAACTACATTGCCTTCCCCTGTGTTTACTGCTGGTGTTTATACCCAGACATTTATTTAGCATTTATTTAGCATCTAGTATAACTTCCCACCCTGTCTCGCCATACTGCAAATTTGTGTCCAGAGCCTAAGTGGTGTGTTGCAGTGTCTCCTTAGCAGATGTACGGTGCTTAGGTCTCCTCCATTATCAGTCTTTGCATTTCTGTTGCCTTTTTTAGTTTGATTAGGACTAGGGCATCAGCCTTCCTTGTGTCTTGGTAGGAGGCTGACTGTTAGTGCTGGAAAGCTGACTGCCGAACAAGTGATCTGTGAGTGAAGTAAGAGTGGACATTTAATGACAGCTTCAGGAATTAGTGAAGTTTACTGCTCAGGTAGCTCTTTGAAGAAGGCAGGTTTACAAGCATTAATCTGCATAACATAGGAAAGGCTTCATGTTATTCCTGAGAGATTACATCTCTTGCCCAATGTTTGGAAAAGTCAACATCCAATTCAGAATTAAAGCTTGGTCCCTCTTTTGGAGGACAGTGTTTCTGGGGTTGTTATCTGCAGTTGCATGCTTCCAACTTCAGGCAACTTTAGCAGATGATCAGGCTAAGTTGTAACATCTATCTCAGTGGGTTTCTGGTGGGATCTTTGCCTTGGATCTCTCTTTGTTCTGAGCGCCCTAGCAAGGGTGCTCAGCTGTGACCCCACTTCAAGATGCAGGGAATGATGTATCCATGTTCACGCCTCCCCCCCCCCCAATTGACTTGTGTGTTTGTTCAGCTCAGGCTGAGAGTGTGGCTTTTTGGTATTTTTCTAGGAGTGTTTGCTGCCAAGATAGTACTTCATTTCTGCTTAAATGTTGGAATTTTCAATTAATGATTCAGTCATCACACTGGATTCACAGTTGCTTGCCCATGTGTATTGCCCTTGATATGGGCATATATGATTTCCTGATGTGCTTTAGCTTCCAGAGTACTTTGTTCCTCGGTGACTTCTGCTGTATATGAGGAAAGTGTGTGGCTTAAAGCTTTATACTTTTTCCAACGGTTGGGCTTCTGTTTCTGTCAAAAGGCCAAGATAAACCAATTATGTAAAGAGCTCATTTCTTTCCTCAGTGGAAATAGATACAGGTCTTGCAGCCCAGTTGTAGCTATGGCCTTTCTTCTCCTTGCCCTGGCCTGTGTCACCTTCTTCACTAATGGGGGAGGCAGATGGAGAACTTGGGAAGGGCTTAGGCTGTGCTGTATGGCCTCACAGACCCAACATGTCTCCTGGGTGTGGTCTCTTGCTGTTGTGTTGTTTGGCCCGTCCGGGCTGATGGAGCCAGTGCTTGGTCAGAGAGCCATTTATTAGAGGCGCTGTCCGGAGGGAATGCTGTTAAATCCTACCCTCGCGCCTCGCATGTTGCATCTTCTCCTGTATGTCATCTCAAGACCATGAGGAACAGCCCCTGGTGGAGACCAGAATTGTTCTTCTCTTTCTTCAAAAGCATGGTGCAAGTCTGAATCTTGATAAAAACACTGGGAGGTGCAAAATCCTGGTTCTCCCATATGACCTGAGAATACTTCGGGAGATTCAATCTCCTGTCTGGCACTGGGCTGGAAACCTGTGTGTGTGCCAGTTTGTGTTAAGGTAAGGATGCTCACCTTCCCTTCTGCCGCTCTGCATCTTAAATCAGTCAGTGTGTGCAGGTTGTGTCAGAGAACCAGGACCAGAGGCCATTTAAGCAGTCTCTGGCTCATGGTGTTTGAGCTAAGATAAAAATAACAGAAAGTGTGACTTTAAGCAGCCATTTGCATACATCTTGATGGTAATCACACTTCAGTAGGCACAGTGTTATATCTCTCGCATGAATAAAATCCCATCGAATGCCACCTGTGAACAAAAGGCTCCAAGATCAAGTACACTGATCCAAAAGTTGTTTTGTACTTGCATCTTTCTTTATAGGCTTTTTCCTAAATATTAGTGGAAAGCTTAAGTCTGAGACTTGAGCCGGCTGTTGCAGCATCTGATCTCTAAACTGGAGAATCTCTGTGTTGACAAAGCAGCTGTCTAATTATGTCTCAGATTGGAAAAATCTGATAACCACTAGCATGAATCAGCACATTTTAAATCAGAGTTCTTGTGGCTCCAAATGTGATGGATTTGGGAGAACAACTTCATTTTCTTGCTCTGTAACAGATGTCTCAAAATAAGAGGAAATGGTGATGATTTGGTCTTGAATGCTTTTTATCAGACTGATCAGTTCTGAAACAAAAATCTAGCTTAAAAGTATAGGGTATATTTTTATATATATATATATATGTGTGTGTGTGTGTGTGTATATATATATATATATGTATGTAGATAATAACGCCAAATAGTTTGTAGACACAGTGGTGGTTGTGATGGAAGATACAACATATGCAATTTTTAGTTAGTAAGACAAAATCAGCTTTAATACTGTAAAAACTAACAAAGTGCCGGAAAAACAACCCTGCAACTTCCCAGTTTTCAAGCCTTTCCCCTGTAGTGGTGTTTTATGAATGACAGAAATAAGAACACGTGTGTTTACCAAACCAGCACCAGGATCTGGTTTTGGGGATGGGGAAGGGCGGTAGTGTTCGCTGATGCTGTGACAGCTTCGTGCACAGCTGTCCATGTGCTCTGTCAGCAGGCATGGTCATGGGATTCTGCTTCTATCCCAGCTTTGTGGTTGGGCATTCACAGGCCGAGGGGTTCAACCCAGCACAGAGCGAGTCCTAAGGATTTCAGACCAAGTTCTAAAGTCCTGAAGGAAAGTTCTTAATAGCGACGTCTTTCCTTGCTGTAGAGAATAGTGGTTTGGTGAGTAACTTCGAGGCTGTTTTGTTGGCCTTTGCCCCTTGACATGGAATTTGGCAAAGGTGTCCCAGCTGGTTTCTCAGTCTGCAGTGGTAAGGTGTGGTTAAGGTTTATGATCACATTTGTGCTTAAAGGAGTGACCAGGCCATGGGTTGCAGGCTGTGTGCTGCTGTGTGATGGTACATACCATGAACGGTATTTTTTGTGGCCTGTGGTGTACTGCTGGCTACTTGCTGTCCCAGGGACACTGCAGGTAGAGAGCAGGAGGAGTGTGGTTGCTACACATACAGAGCTTCATCAGAGGTTTTTTGCAGTACATCAGATGCTTTGAGGATGTGTGTTGGGTTTGCTGAGTGTGATTAGGCTGTCTGTTCTGCACTGCCAAGTCTCTTTCCACAGCATGGGTCTTGATCTGAGCAAAATCGAATTTCTGATTACCTCCAGAGTTCAGGGAACTTCCAAGTCCATTCAGAGGATCCAAAATAATCCAGAAACTCTAGGTAGGTGTCTTACTGAAATGTTGACTTTTCTCTCTGAAGTGTGTGTATTCACTAGCTATAGCCGTGTATGAAGTTTAGACAGAAACACAGCCTTTGCAAAACACGGGGAAATTGTAAGCAGTGTTGAAGGAGGTGAGACTAGCTCAGATCATAGGGAGTGCAAGAAATGGGGAAAAGAACACGCAGGCCCTTTGCAAGTTGGTCTCTGCTTTTGGAGGTCACAAGATTGGCATGTGAAGGTGTCCGTATGATCAAATTAAAGTTCTGCAGAGTGTAATGCTGATGACTTATGTCTGCCTTGAAAAGCAGGTGAGGAAAATTACCTTCACTGTAAAATAGCACTGAGCTGTTTCTGTGCTTCTGGAAATAGTTATTATCCCATGTGGCTGTAGCACTTGTGGTCTTGGGTTCTGTACAGCTTAGCAAGGACTCAGCTGGAATGGGTTTGTAGAAGTGACTCTTGCTATATGGAGACTGCCGGAAGCTGTTTTCCTTTAGGCTTGGATCAGGTAGTCTACTCACATGGAAGAAGTCCTGTGGAGACAAGGGTTGACAAGGAGAGGGAGTGTACAGCCTATTGGGATCTTCTCAGCTTCAGCATGATTGTGTATTTTTAGATGTCAGCTGTGTGATTGTCTTGTTTTGCCTTATTTTGGAAGCTTTTCTTGAGGTTGTGATGTGTCTCCTCTACCACGCTAGTTTGGGCTTATAAACCTGTGCTAAAATGTAGCATTGGTTCATCTTTGTCCATCCCAGAGGGGCGCTGGGAGCCAGCCTAGTGGGGAGCGTGGTGCCTGGGAGAGCTGTGGTGCATGGGATGCAGGGGGAGGCGGAGGCTGGGGTGTGGATGAGGCTGTGTCTGTGTGGGAGCAGGGAGTGTTCCTGGTGCGGGGACCTACATTGGCTGCCCTATCCAAATGTCCAAGCTGGAAAACACGCTTTATGGTGGGAGGTGGTGGTCTGATTGCTATGCTCCCTGTGCTGCTCAGCTGGGGCCTTTTGCTCTCTCCTGCCCTGGCAGCATCTTTGATAGACTTTTATTAAATGAGAAGGGAGTGATGCTACATTGAGCTCCTTTGTTAAGAAACACACATAAATGTCATCCTCCCTAAAATTCTGGTTCACTGAAAAATGCAAGGTGCTCCACACCGTAGCTGGCAAATGTTTGGTGTAACCTGTGTGTGGGACCTTCACATTGCTGCTGGAGGCCAAAGTAGGTGCCCTTGGTGGCTTCTCTTAAGATCCAAGTTCAAGATGAGGCTGTTCTCCTGAAACAGGATGTGTATTATAGACAATTTCAGTGGGTTAATAGCTTACATAGAGGGAGGGGTATAAGGACATGTTGGAGCAGCCAAGGCATACTGAGTGTTCCCAATTCCTGCCCACAGCTGTAGGCACAGTGGAGCAAAGGTCTTCTTCAAGAAGAGGTGGGTGTGTTGAGCAGCTAATCCCCAGGAAAGGCATATTGTATCTGGATGCCTCCTGGTGGGTTCAAGTGCTAGCTTTGTTGCAGTATCCTCTGTCCCTTCCAAAACAGGATTAAGCAAAGGAGACTATTTCTCTACTCTTAATTTAAGTCTCTGGGAAGCTGGTTTAGCTTCAGAGCAGACCTGAAAAGGCTTGTCAGTTGGATCTTAGAGCCATCAGCATTTTCTTTCTCCACTTAACTGAAGCTCGTTTAACTTGTGACAGCATTTTAATTTGTTACATTTGTAAAGGAAACGTCAGGGGAAGGTTCAGAAATACATATTTATGTTTCTTGGCTAAGCTTAATTTGGCTTGAGAACTTGTTTTTCTAAAGAGGCATCTCTTGTCAGGCTGGGATTTTTTTTCTATGCTTCATGGGGTTTGTTTGTTTTTTCAGCTATGTTTTTCTTTTTTCTCTTCCTCCTCCAAAAAGAGCATATAGTGATTTTCCTTGATCTACACCTTCCCTTGGATATGAAACAGGTCTTAACCAGAAGTATCCTCTCAGAGGTTTCCTCACTCATCCTGGAGCTGTTGTTGGGCCTCCTGTGTAGTGCTGAGCAGGACCACTGCAGCCTCTGGTGCTGGACAGAAGTGTTTTTTGGGGTATCCTTGGGACGTGCAGCACTACCAGGAATTTGGGCACTGCAGGGTAGTCCGCATCTCTTCCTGCTGCCCTTGCTTGGGA